ACCCCAAATGGGGCCCCGGTTGAGAACCACTGCCCTAAACAGTGGAAAAGTTCCTGGAATCATGGCTTCAACTGGACATTATCAAGCCAAGATTGGACAGCCATTTATCTAGAATGGTCTGATGATGGACTGATGATTCCTCGGCAGGGGTTAAGACGCCTAGTGTTAAGACATTATGGGTAGGGAGTTAAGACCCCCAGGTATTATGACCTCTGGATCAGAGGTTAAGACATTCTGAGTAGGGAGTTAAGATCCCTGGATGTTATGACCTTGGGTAAGGAGTTAATACACCCTGGATAGGGGGTTAGGACCCCTGTGTGTATTGATCCCTGGGTAAGGGATTAGGACACCCTGCTTGGGGGTTAAGACCCATGACTAAGGAGCTAAGATTTCTTCCAATCTGATAATTCTATTATTCTTTGTTTTTATTATTCTGTGATTTATCAGGATACTATGGGTAATGATTTAAGATACTCTGGGTGTTAATACCTTGGGCAGAGGGTTAATAACCCTGAATGTTAATGTCCCCGGATAGGGTAATAAGACATGCTGGGTGTTAAGTCGTCCTAAGTGGGTTTTAAGGCTCCTTCCAACCCTATAATTCTACTGTTCTTTGCTTAGATCAGACATGTCAAACTTGCGATGTCACATGATGTTGCGTGACGTATCAGGGCTTTTTCCCCATTGCCAGCAATGGGGTGGGCGCGGTTTCATCATGATGCATCCGGCCCACGGGTCGGCAGTTTGACACCCCTGGCTTAGATGATTCTATGATTGACACAAATGAATCACTAGAATCATGCCCTCAACTTGAGCTTACAAAAGTAAATGAATGGTTCTTTCATACTAACCTTCACACTGATTTCAACAATGTAAAACATACATCCTTGGTATTAAACCATATGATGCATTTGAGGCTCAAAACCTGAATAGTTTGTACAGTATAAAAGGATAGCATTCACGAGATCCTGTCCACCAAAAGCATTTTGGCTCAGCAGAGGAAAAATGGATTGCAGCATAAAACATTTAGCAGGTTGTAGAAAATATTTCAGTATTGACTTCATTTTTTTTTTTATCTTCTCATAGTTACCTAAGAGGGGTCTCAAGGAGAAAGAGAAGTGGGTCTCAAGCTTTAAATAGAGCTGGTTGAATTATTCATTGTCAATAAAAGGATTATGTTGAATAAATTATTCAAAATACCTCATACTCCCACCTGACTAGCTCTGTGAAGGTATGATTTAGCTGGTTTCATCAAGAACCTGAGAGATACTTTCAAAGAGAACAGGGATGGAGATATTTAAAGCCCGTATCAAAGTTGTTCAAACATTATAACAAGAAATTTAACTGCACTTAGAATACAATCTATTCCTTTAATCAAATGCAAACTGCAGGGTATTATACAGTTCAGGGTGGCTTTGAACTAAGTGGAGACTTCACTGTGCCAAGTACAAATAGCACAAGAGCATATGGATGATGCTATTTTGCTATGCCAAATGTCACTCAAAGGAGATTGTGCATCTGGGTACAACGTGGAGCTAAGGATGACTGGCTCGTTCCAAGGGTTTGCTGATGGACAGCAATTTCAAAGGTCAAAGGTTGGTTTGGGTTTTACTGTGTATAAAACAGGAGCTTTACCACTGAGTTCAACTCACTGTGTGATTTTATTTATGAGACTTACCGTATATGCTGGTGTACAAGGCGACCCGGCGTATAAGACGACCCCCGTCTTTATAGCCGGGCCGCATTCCTAGAACGTCGTCTTATACGCCGGAAACTACCAGTATTTCCGGCGTATAAGACGACTCGGCGTATAAGACGACCCCCGTCTTTGGTGCTGATTTCAGCGCTCGTGGAAGTCATCTTGTATGCCGGCATTTACGGTATATACCGCTTTAAGTGCAAGCACTCTCTAAGCGGTGTACACCAGTAAGCAACGTATATATATATTTACATTGCCCCCAACAATCTGGGTCCTCATTTTACCTACCCCGGAAGGATGGAAGGCTGAGTCAACCTTGAGCCGGTGAGATTTGAACCGCTGACTTGCTGAACACAGTCAGCTAAAGTGGCCTGCAGTACTGCTCTCTAACTGCTGCACCACCTCGGCTCGTGTGATTGAGAAGGAAGCACACAAATCTTGGTTAATTTTTCCTTTTTAACCCCCATTTTTCCACTGATGTCACTAAACTCTCACTAATGGGTGCATTTGATATACTGCACACAGAGAAAGTACTTATGTGTTTTTATTACGGATAATAATGTTGTCTTTTTAAAGCCTTCTAACAGCTGAAGGTAATAACATCCACTCATGTTGGAATCTAAGGGTGTGTTTGTATCATTTCTTCCCAGCATGATGTGTTTATTTACCCTAAACTGATTCCAAGTCATAATATATATAGCAAAGCAGAAAGTGAAGGCCACTTTTTCTACAGTATGTCAACATAGCTATGGAAGTTTTGTCCAAAATTCAAGAGAAAGCAGGTAGAATGGCTTGTCCTCCTGAACCTGGTATCATCCAGCTATTTGGCACTACATCTCCCATCATACAAAACTGGCTTGACCACACTCTGAATAACAGGAGTTGTAATCTACTCTACTGCAATGTTCTCAGCCTGGGCAGTTGGAAGATGTATGGACTTCAACTCCCATAAGCTTCTTCAGCTATGGAGGGGGGATTCAGGGAGTTGAAGTCAACACATCTTCAGACTGCTTAGGTTGAGAAACACTGCAGAAGATTACCACTCCCATCAATAGACTATAACTCCCATCATTCAGCTATGCTGGCTGGGGAATTCTGGGAGTTGAAGTCCACACATCTTCGAAGTGCCCAGGTTGAGAAACAGTAGTCTACTGTAATAAATCTGGAAGGCTGCAGATAAGGGAAACAAGTTTTCAGTACCATAGACAGCTCCCCTTAGCCCGTTTTGGACAAGATGAGTTATTCTCATCCTTGTTGGTTTTTACTGCTCTAATCTGTTATTAGGCTATTTTTTTCCCCTTTTGCTGTGTTTTCTCCTTTTCCTCCAAGAAGCTCCGAATAGCTTTGGTCATTTGGCAGCAAGCTTTCCATCACCTTTGTTTCACTGGATCCCGAATAGTATTTCCATTCCAGCTGGCCATTAGGAGAGCCACCACACCTTTTGCAGAAGTGATGAATGCATTTGTGTTTCTTTTTTCCTCCCCACCCTTTCTATAATATAAAAAGCTTCGGGGAAGAAACTGACTTGTTTTATTCCCTGCATGGCAACTACTCTGAAAGATTGGGTAAACAAAATTAAGAAAGAAGCAATTCTCTTCGCCACAACACCCATGAAAGTTAGGCTAGGTCAGTGGTTCTCAACCTGTGGGTCGGGACCCCATTTGGGGTCGAACGACCATTTCACGGGGGTCGCCAAACAACACAGTCCGCCATTTTTTCCCCTTTTCCTTAGCTGTGCTACTCTCTTTTATTCTATTGGCTTTTGAAAGCCAATAGAATAGACTCTCTTGAATAGAGTCTAATTCTATTGGCTTTCAAAAGCCAATAGGAATTGTCCAGGCTGTCTCTGCCCTGCTGAGCCTGCCAAAAGTCCCATTCTGCAAATGGTGCTGCACCAGTTTAGTAGTCCTCGACTTACGACTGGTTGAATAGTCCTCGACTTACGACCGGTTGGGGGTCATGGCATTAAAAAGGTTGAGAACCACTGGGCTAGGTTGAAAGAAGGAAGAGCTGTTCCCTCCTCCCCCTAGATCAGTTCTTTAGCTGTGTGTGAAAGAAGAAAGTGAGCTGAGTTCCTTATCACTAAATTACAGGGATGATGGCGATCATTTTACCTTCCTAGAATGGATTAAGATTGACTACAATTGATACCCAGCAGAATTCCATGGATGTCTCTCAGAAGGACATCTTAATCACTTCAAATGCATTTGTGCCCAAGTTCATTCTATTTTTACAGCTGTTTGTGTAAGTTTCAGGGCTACACATTTTTTTTTATTGATCCACAATGCCAAACATTTCGTCTTCCTTTTTAACAAATATGTGATTCAATTTTGGCAGCCTGTATTCTCAGAAGCCGGCATGTCACCTATCAATACGAATCACACAGGCATTTTTCCATCTTGCAGTTGTATCCAATATTCCATGCATATTAGATAGAGATCTGATTAGGAGGGACTTAAACGCCAATGGGTGCAAGTTTAGAACTCGGACTCTTTTGGCAAATTCAGGGAAATAATCTGCCACTCCTTCTCTCTGTTTTGGGGGCATCTGGAAGACAAAGATTTCCTCTTGTTATTTGACTGACCAGATGGAAAGATTATAGTACAATGCACAGGTACTGACTTTAAGCAACTTACACGCTTTTCTTCATGCAGGACTTTTTATCAAGCCGGTTGCATTCACACATCAAACAAAACTTGGTTAGTGTCGGTCTTGGTTGGTTAGAGTTTTGTGCGTGTGAGGAGAGGGATAGATAGAGGGAGGGAGAGGGGGGGGAGGAGAGAGGGAGAGGGAAGAGGGAGGGGGAGGGGAGGGAGGGGGAGGGAGAGATGGGAGTTAATGTGCAAACCCAGCCCATTTTGTTCACGAGATTGTGCAAAACCAGGAAAAAGGGCAGTTCGGGTAACCAGATTTAAATGGGTTTTAGTCAACACACTCAAAATGTGTGAATCTGGAAAATGGGTATACATTGAGCAGGCAGCTTAAGTGCGCTGTGTGAACACAGCCTGAGAAAGAGAGAGGAAGGGAGGCTGGATCTGGGCATTCCCAGATGCTTTTCACGACGCTCTTATCTAGCTTTGAGCTGAATCGGCAGTCACACCAACGTACCACGTCGGGAAAGCCAGAGAGGAAGAGATGACCTCATCCTCTCTATCTTGTCAAGCGAAGCCGCCACTTCTCTCTCTCTCTCTCTCTCTCTCTCTCTCTCTCTCTCCATTCAACTCCTCCCTCTTTTCTAGTTTGCTGCTGCTGCTGCTGAAGCCAACAGGGGGCTGATCTCACCAGTTCCGGTCACGTTATTCTGTGTTTACGCCTTTGCTCCATCGCTCTCTCTCTCTCTCTCTCTCTCTCTCTCTCTCCTTCAACCGAGCAAGGGCAGCGGTAACGCACCTCGATCCGCCGCCGCCTCCCTCTTTCCCGCCCCATCCTCGCCGAGGGGAGGGGTGGTCGGGCTGGCCAACCATCAGCTGAGAGGCCCCAACTTTCAACCCGCTGTCCTTTTACCCATTGCGCCAGGATGCTTTGAAGAAGGGGGAGGGAAAGAAAAAAACCGAGCACACCAGCATCGGGCTTGGGGGGGGGTCTCTGCCCCCCTCTGCCTCATCTGTGCTTACACCCCCCCCCCCGGATTCTCAGTCTTGACGTACGGAGAGAAGATGCTTGGATGGCCCTCCGGAGATCTCCGGAAGCCAGTTTGGCTCACCCTTGACTCTTCTGAAAGCTCCCCGCCTTGATGACCCCAAGTTGTGCCCATCACGTCTTGCTGTTGCCTCTTTCTTTTGCACAGGTAAGCCCGAGGTTTGAGAGGGGGAGGGGAGAGAGATGTGGATTATCTGGGGGGAGATCAAGCCAAGGCGGAAGAGAAGACCGAGGCTTGCCCACTATGTCAACCTCTGGAATACAGCGAAGGGGTTCAGGAGGCAAAGCTGGACTTCCTGATCTGGAGAACCACCACAGAACTAGAGACGTGAGGGGGAGAGGGGGGTCTTTGGAGATCATCAAGTCTAGCCTTACTTGATCTGACTTTTCCTCCTCCATCTGAAATACCAAAGTTCCAGTTCCAGTCTGGGTCAGCCTAAATGTAAGAAATTCCTGGAGTTCTAGTCCCAACGTAGGTGAGGAACACAGGAATCGGCCAGGCTGGTCTCATCCAGGGCTGAATCTGTTCTGCAAGTCCTCCTTGATTTCTGCTAAGACAGGTTGAGCTGATGATGGGTACTTTTGCTTCTGTGTGTGTGTGTGTGTGTGTGTGTGTGTTGCTTGAACCCAAATGTGCGGGATGAGGTGACATCCCAGAAAAAGAGTAGCTTTTTTTTAGAGAGGGGGGTCACAGTTCCAGATAGTCCTCCACTTATATCTGTTTGTTTAGTGACCATTTCAAGTTACAATGGCACTAAAAAAAGCAACTTATGACTGTTTTTCACACTTGCAACCCTTGTAGCACCCCCCCTGCTCACATGATCCAAATTCAGACTCTTGGCAACTGACTCATATTTATGACAGTTGTCGTGTCCCAGGGGTCACGCGATCCTCTTTTGTGACCATCTGACGAGCAAAGTCAATGGGGAAGCCAGATCCACTTAACAACTGTGTTCCTGACTCAGCCACGGCAGTGACTCACTTAACCGCTGTGGCAAGAAAGATCATCAAATGGGGCAAAACTCACTTAACAAATGCCTCGCTTAAGAACAGAAATTTTGGGCTCAGTTGTGGTCGTAAGTCGAGGACTGCCTGTATTGGACAAACCAAAACTATCCTGCTCCTCCCCAGGGACAAATCAGCGAAGATTTGCATGGATTTAGCACCAACTTTGGAAAAGCAGCAGGCTCCTAGTGCAGGGAAGAAACGCCTCCTTCAACTGCCTGAAGCTCTAGGTTCAATTTCACATTTGCACATACACACACACACACACACCTTCCCCATCCAAAAAGAGCCCAGGCAAATGCAGACTCTCTTGTGAAGCTGCTGCTATCAGCCTCTTCTGGGTTGGAGAACCGGCTGTCCTAGCTTGGGATGTCGGCATTCTATACTCCTGTTTATGTATTCAAGTTCAGCTGCGCACACCACTCAGACCCACTCGAAGTTTAGCTGGGGATCTGAATCTCTTGCAGTTGGAGAAGAGGCTGGAAGCCTCAAGGGAACCATCCAGCTGAGTTGCCATGGCCGGGGGAAGGCTCCATAATGATGCGCGATGGGCTCGTCGCCCCCCCTTCCTGTGAGCAGCTGCATTTAAATTCTGGGAAAGGAAACCCCTTGTGGATCTAAAGAACGGAGATGCTGATCCACAGCATCTGATACGGTGAGCAATCTCACCATCTTTTAAACCTTCATCGTCAGAGTCTGCCTTTGCTGCAGCAAAGCCATTTATCCCGCTATAGGATTTGCCTGCCTAGAGAAAGTAGAGGAAAAAAACCCTGGATATTTTTACTTTTACCCCCACTAGACGTACATCTCCTCGGAGACCCCCTATCTCCACAGCGATGTCCTTTTACAGCCCACATCAAGTCTGGCAACCAGCAGGGAACAAAATCTGCATTTCTGAATCACAAAAGTTGACTTCCTCTGATGTACTTGGTTATCCGTGTTCAAAAATTATTTCGACCTTCCTTTAAAGAAAATTATGTACAACACAGACCAAGTAGGACAGTTATGCAGGACCCTGAACTCCTTGCACGAGGCAACATCAAGTAAAATTTGAAAAAGGCTATATGTAGTTGATGAATGACACTCAGATGAATGATATTTTTGACTGGTGTTAAAAAACTTCTAATGGAAATCCAGCATGGACCTCTTGAGGGAATGTAACTGGGGGTACTACCAGGGAGACAAGTTAAGGATTGCATTGTATTTACTTTATTTAGCATATGGCATATTATACATGGAGTAGCAATATATTTTATTTTAAGCTAGATTAGTAAAAACACAATAAAATATAAACGTTAAAAAGATCTTAAGTTCTAGACCATCTAACCATTGAAGTTCAGCATTGCTTATATTTGTAGAAAATCAAATACTGGACCAGTATATGCCCTCAGCTTACAATCGGTCACAATGTGATCTACAATTTCATGTGGGACCTCACAGTCAGACTGAGGGGAGGATTCCACTGTAGAGATCCTCTGAAGTAAAGCTGCACAGCCCCTGTGTTCTGTCTCTAAGGCTGAGATGCATCCCTTGAAATGTGGGTGACGTTTGCCCAGGACATCTTCAAAACTTGCAATGTTGTAATGCTTAATCTGACAAGGGGGACGCAGGGGACATGGAGATTGATTGGCAGGTGGTAGAAACTGTGGTAAGTTAGAGTGGTTGGGCCTGCTTAGTACTTGGATGGAATACCACTGAGAAAGCTAGACCAGGCAACCTAAAATATATTCCTGAAGGCCATGGTCAATCAGTTCCATATTTATTTTCTTGATTTATGTATATCCCACCTTTGTTATTTTTATAAGTAACTCAAGATAGCAAAACGTTCCTGACTCTTTTTTTTATTTTCCTCACAATCACAACCCTGTGAGGTGGGTTGGGCTGAGAGAGAGCGATTGGCCCAAAGGCACGCAACTGGCTTTCATGCTTAAGACAAGGCTAGAACTCATAGTCTCCTGGTTTTTAGCCTGGAGCCATAATTGCTGGACCAAACTGGCTACATGGATCAGTGGTGGGATTCAGCCGGTTCACACTGGTTTGGCAGAACTGGTAGCTAAATTTTACTGAGTTTGGAGAACCAGCTCAATGCACACTGCTTCTGGAAGTCCAGTCTAGGCCTCAGAGGCCTGGAGGAGGCTTCCCAGGCCTAGAACAGCCTGCCGGAAGTGTGTGGATGCCCCTTCCTGAAGTCCGTTCTAGGTTTTGGCGGTCCAGGCCTGCATCCAATAAGAGAACCAGTTGTTCAGGTATTTGAATCCCACTATTGACATCGATATATCCAGAACATCATCAAGAGTCAAGCTCAATTCAATTCAGATGTAGTCCTGTTAACTATTTAATTCATTCACTAACTGGATTTGAGTTATTGAAATCAGAGTTTTGTTCCTGATTCCGTTCACTTCTTTTGACTCAGGGCCACAATAACCGATTTGAAAGTGTAATGCAAACCTCAGCCCAGAACTGCAATCTAATAACAATTAAATGCATCCATATCTAGGAGAGGCGGACAAGGTTTTAAAAAAGCCAGGATGGTAGGTGTACCCAACCTTCACCACAGCCTCTGCTCCTGGGGTTTGCTGCCTTTATTTATTAATCAAATCTATATCAACAGCCAGTGTGCTGTAGTGGTTAAATGCACCAGGCTAAAACCTGGGAAACTGTGAGTTCTAATCTTGCCTTAGGCATGAAGTCAGCTGGAGGACCTTGGGCCCGTCACTCTCTTCAGCCCTAGCAAGCAGGCAATGGCAAACCACTTTGGAAAAACGTTGCTAAGAAAACTGCAGGGATTAGTCCAGGCAATCCCCAGGAGTGAAAAATGACTTGAAGGCATGCACGCATACTGCACACACGGTTCATCTACCACAGTGTTTCTCAACCTTGACAATTTTAAGGCATGTGGACTTCAACTCCCAGAATTCCACAGCAAGCAATGTGGTTGAGAAACACTGATCTGCCGTATAATTTCCCTTCATGTCAGGACACTCAGCAGTCTAATGGCAAAAAGGGGGGACTCTATGGCCCTCTGACTATAACATGCTTAACTAGTTAGTTACCTAGTCAATCAGGTCAAATTTCCTGCTTGAGCAGTGGGTTGAACTAGAAGACCTCCAAAGTCCCTTACAATCTATTCTTCTATGTTCTAATTAGCAATTCCAGCAGCACACAAAGAATTAATGGGTCAAAAATTACTTTCTTGGTTCTGTGGACATGTTTGCCAAGAATGCCTCTTGAGTTTTTGTGTGACAACAACATTCACAAATCCTAATGACATCATTAGCCCCTTTATTATTTGTTAGGAAAACAGCAGCTTGGTTATTGCAGTGCCTTGGGGTTTGAGAGATATTCTGTTCTTGACAGAGAGTTCTGTAATAGAGAGACCTTCTTTTTCAAGCTGTTCTCTCTCAGCATCTCTTTTTCTTGGAGGTATAGATAGGTACAGTGCAGGTGCCTATGTAGAGTTTGCATAGTTTAATACAGGACCTGGTCTATTTGGAAGTTAAATTCCACCCTCTAGGGATTAGCTGGCTACCTTGAAAGGAAAGGGTCTGTATATCCTCAGAGTTATTTTTGCCATTTTTGCATACAATACAGAATTTAATGCGATCATGAGGGTTGGGCTGCTTCTATGTTGATCTCTTTCAAGTATTCTCAACCAGGCCTGCACAGTTTCAGGCAAACAGTTATTGAACTGCTAAGCTTCAATATAGCTCTAAGATTATTTTAATTGAGTCACTTGAGCCTGCCATATACCCAGGAGTATAAAACTTGGAATCTTTCAGAAGCTGATGGATAACTAGTTGAGCAGGAATGCAAGGAGTTGCATTTATTTATTTATTTATTTATTTATTAGATTTATATACCACCCATCTCACTGCTGAAGCAATTCTGGGCAGCTTACCAAGTGATAACAAGATAATATAAAACAATTAAAATTAAGAGGGAGTAAATAAGGACTAAACACCCTTAAAATTAAGAGAGATTAAATAGAGACTAAAAATCAAGAGGATGGGACACACAAAGGTGTGTGGGGTCTTCTCTCTACCCTATCAGACACTCCTAGCATGGAGCACCGTCACTGCAACCCAGGTCAGCCAGCAGAGTCAGGTTTGTCAGGCACAAGTAATTAGGAGCATTCGTGGAGTTCAAAACACAGAAGAGTTTATTATTGTTACCTCCAATACAAGAATCTAATCAACTAATGATCAAAGCTCAATTGATGCTATATAAGGACCAACGGAATATATGGGTGGGGGGTTGAACTTAGGTCTCTTGTGACAACGCAATGACTCTAAACTGATGACATATTTAACCCCGCCTTCCAGCTCAATCTCTTCTCTTCCTACAAGGTTTTAAGGCTCTTCCAGAAGGCCAGCAGAGTGGAGGTCAACCTCACCTCCAGTGGGAGAATATTCCAGAGGGCAAGGGCAACAGCAGAAAAAACTCTTCCCCTGGACCCAACCAGCCAAAATCATTTAACCAATGGGACTCATAGTATGCCTCTTCAGCTGGAGTGAATGGAACCCCTCCTATTTGGGTGAGGGGTCTGGAAGTTAAATTGTATGATGGACAGTTGTAGGAACTGGGTATATCTAGTCTAACAAACAGAAGCACTAAGGGTGACATGACAGCAGTCTTCCAATATCTGAGAGGATGCCACAAAGAAGAGGGGATCAACCTATTTACTCACAGTTAGAACAATTAATTAGTAGAATGGCTCGCCTCCAGAAGTTGTGAGTGCTCCAACGCTAAGGTTTTTAAAAAGAGTTTGGACAACCATTTGTCTGAAATAATATAAGGTTTCCTACTTGACCAGGCAGTTGAACTGGAAGGCCTCCCAGGTCCCTTCCAACTCTGTTATTCTGTTATTTTCCACAGCACCTGAGGGGAGACAAGAAGTAACAGGTGGAAGCTTATCAAAAAAAGGTCCCGCCTAGAGCTTAGGAGAAATTTTCGGACAGTTAAAACAATTAAACAGTGAAAGGGCTTACCTCCAGAGGTTGTGGTGCTCCAACATTGGAGGTTTCAAAAGAGACTGGGCAGCCATTTATCTGGAATAGTACAGGGTCTCCTGTTTGAGCAGAGCATTGGACTAGAACATGGGTAGGCAACCTTGACTCTTTTATGACTCGTGGACTTCATCTCCCAGAATTCCTGAGCCAGCATGGCTCAGCATGGAAACTCTCCCTTTCCCCTCAGCATGGCTGGCTCAGGGATTCTGGGAGTTGAAGTCCACGAGTCATAAAAGAGCTAAGGTTGCCTACCCCTGCACTAGAAGACCCCCAAGGTCCCTTCCAACCTTAGTATTCTATGTTCTATGTTCTTTTTGTACAGGCTTTCAACTGCTGGTTTTAGCTACTCAATTTAATAATTAACTCCTATGTTGCTCGTTTTTTCCATGACTATTTTGTTATTCGCTTCATCGTGCCCTGTTCTAAAGGTCTTTTTATTGTAAACTCCTGACAGATTTAGATAGTGTTCTTGTACCTCAAGTGAAGTCAATAAAATTAATGACATGATTGCAGACATCCCCAGACCTGAGTGGGCTGATCGCTTTCCTCTATTTTTATCCTCCTCCAGTTCATTTCCACAATAGCGGCTCTGTTAAGCCTGTTGCCGCACAAATAACCCCAAATCTTGTTGCCCTTTGAAAAATAACACATTAATTCCAGCAGAAGCTTTCATGGCGTGTAACCCATTTCGTCATAGGTTTGATGAAAGGGTTGGCAGTCCATGACAACTTTGAACTTCTCTCTGAGATGCCAGGAGGCCCCTTAATGTATTTTTTCCACTCAAAAAACTGAAACATATCCATGCAAGATCAGCAGCCTAGATTTTTTAAGCCTCAAAGCAGAACCAGAAATAGCCTGTGGCCCTGGCAAATTGACGGAGGCGTTCAGGAAAGAAAAAGATTGGTAGGAATGCCTGATAGACTTGATAGCTGTATTCCAGTATTTGGGAGGCTGTCACAAAAAGGAGGGGATCAATTTATTTTCCAAAGCACCAAAAGGCAAGATGAGAAACAATGGATGGAAACTAACCAAGGAGAGAAGCAACCTAGAACTAAGGAGAAATTTCCTGAAAATTAAATGTCTATGGGGTTTCTCAATCATCCAGGTCATGGTTGTCCCAAGGGTGCTTTTTCACGAGGCAACTGGACTTCCTTGTTTTTCTTTGAGGATGTTTCACTTCTCATCCAAGAAGCTTCTTCAGCTCTGACTAGATGGTGGGGAGTGGAAAGATTTATATTCCTTGCAGACAGCTGGTCATTTGCATTCTTTCAGAGAGTCCTTGGGGCCATTTGGAGGTTTACCTGTGTCCTCAGGGTCACCTGAGTAGTGCGAATGGATGTGGAGCTTTCTTGGATGTAGGATGTTTTCTGCCCTGTGTCCCTTCACCATTGAAGACAGGCACAGGTGCTGGGGATGATTCTGTGTTGTCTGCATCTCAAACTGAAGTGCAAATGGTTCCTGTAGTCTACAGTGTTTTCTGAAAATCCATTCATACTCCCTCACCATTTGAAGGTGTGTTCATCCCAAAGTACATAGCTAAATGTTTATGGAGATTCTCAGTCATCCAGATAAGGTTGTCCCAAAGGTGCTTTTTTTAGTCAGAGGTGAAGAAGCTTCTTGGATGAGAAGTGAAACATCCTCAAAGAAAAACAAGAAAATTGTTGCCTCCTCAAAAAGTACCTTTGGGGTTCCTGAAAAATAGAACAATTAACCAGTGGAAGGCTTGCCTTCGGAGGTTGTGGGTGCTCTAAGAAGAGTCTGGACAGTCACTTGTCTGAAATGGAATAGGGTCTCCTGCTTGAGCAGGGGGTTGGATTAGAAGAGGGGTAGGCAACCTTGGCTCTTTTATGACTCATGGACTTCAACTCCCAGAATTCCTGAGCCAGCATGGCTGGCTCAGGAATTCTGGGAGTTGAAGTCCACGAGTCATAAAAGAGCCAAGGTTGCCTACCCGTGGTCACTAGAAGATCTCCAAGGTCTCTTCCAGCTCTATTCTGATTGATTGATATTGATACATTGATTGATAATGCAAGGGGAAAATCAGCAACTGCTACAGCCCCGTGCCACCACTGCTGCAGAATCGACAGTTCACAAGTTCACGTCTGTTCCCTCCAGGCTTAGACTCTTTACTGTGTTGCGATGGAGACTTTGTCCCTGGAGCATCAGATCCAAAGCGTGCAAAGACACATCACCTTCCTCAAAAAGGAGCAGATGAAACTTCTCCACGATTTGCACCTGGAGATCCTGCGCTTACAAAAATACTGCACAGGTGAGTCCCGCATCAATCATCCAAGGAGGCAGAGATTTGAAGGCTTCAGCTCCACGGATTGATAAGTAACTTGAAAAGGTAGAGTGGCTCAGCATAGCATTAATAAACTAAGGTCATTAATAAACTATCTTGAGTCTCCCAAAGTTAGATAATGTCAGCCTTCTAGTCCAAACAAGAAGCGCCTCCAAAAAATACTAATTCTACCTTTATTATATTACATTAAAAAAAAGATGTTGAGACTCTAGAAAGAATGGAGAGAAGAGCAACAAAGATGATCAGGGGACTGGAGGCTAAAACATATAAAGAACGGTTGCTGGAACTGAGTATGTCTAGTTTAGTGAAGAGAAGGACTAGGGCTGACATGATAGCAATGATCCAATATCTCAGGGGTTACCAGGAAGAAGAGGGAGTCAAGCTATTCTGAGGACAGGACAAGAAGCAATGGATGGAAACTAATCAAGGACAGAAGCAACCTAGAACTAAGAAGAAATTTCCTGATAGTTAACAACAATTAATCAGTGGAACAACCTGCCTCCAGAAGTTGTGAATGCTCCAATACTGGAGGTTTTTAAGAAGAGATTGGACAACCATTTGTCTGAAATGGTATAACGGGGTTGGACTAGAAGACCTCCAAGGTCCCTTCCAACTCTGTTATTCTATTCCAGTGATGGCGAACCTTTTAGAGACCGAGTGCCCAAAAACTGGCCCCACTCCGCCTGCCCATCACCACCCTGCTCCGCCCTCACCCCGCCCACCCTCAGGGCCATCCATGGTCCACTGCAGATCGCCCAGATGGCCCTGCAGCGCCATGGTGGCCACGCCTTCCGCCTGCGCTCCGCAGCAGCATCTACTGCCCAGCTGCCATGTGTTTGGCTGTGCTGCTCCACGTGGGCTGCACCCGGGGGTGACTCTCCACCAGGGGGGCTGCTGGTGAGGAGGGAGCTGCGGGGGAGGCAAGGCTGGGGCGACGGTGTGCGTGCCCACAGAGAGGGCTCCGAGTGCCGCCTCTGGCACTCGTGCCATAGGTTCACCACCACTGTTCTATTCTATTCTAAACAAAATATTGCAAATTTGAAAGTACAGCTCTCCCCCTCATCTTTACAATCCAAGAAACTAGGGGGGGGGGTCCCTCTGAGATGTTTACCCTGCCCAATTCCTTCTGTGTGCTCAGCTGCCTCTTATCTGACCATTCCCTAGTCTATGACTCTTCCTCTTTTCTCCCAAGCTTATTCCCACATACCATTACACTGCAGAAGGGAGACTTCTGGTTTTTAATATAATAACCCCCTAAGGCTTGCACTGCAGAGGCAGTTGGTTTCTCGACATGGTTGAGCATTGCAGCTTTGGCCAATAAGCTGTTATAATCTTCAACATATGCTGTCAATTAAAGAACCAGCAGTTAGATTTGCAGAACATGCTAACCTTGGTGAGTATTAAAGTTGACCAAAGTGATTGGTTGGTCAACATGTTATACAAATCCAACCCATTTGGTTAGTGTACACTTCCATGTATTGTATAGGCACTCCCACACCCCATCAATTGGATTCAATTTTTCCCTGACTATGTTAAGGAGGAATGCAACCAATGTAAGACTCATGAGTTCAATTCAACATGCCTTCATTACTGCTACAGCAGCTAACTAGGGAAAGAAACACCAGTCTGCATTCGATAGAACTGAAAGTGTTGAGAAGACAGCTTTGAAGCTCTTAATTTCAACATTAAAGATCAGGAATTTCCAGGAGCTCTTACTCTCTTTCCAAAACTATCTTACTTTTTACGTAGTCCTAGAACCTGGTCCATTAATCAGACCTTGTGAAGCAGATCAGGATTGTGGGGTCCTTGGAGCTTTCTGAGCTTGGTTGGTTTCTTGCAAACATTTCATTATGAAACTAAAGAACATCATTTGTGCAGGTCAAAATTCCTAGAGCAGCGGTGTCCAATCTTGGCAACTTTAAGACCTGCGAATTTCAACTCCCAGAATTCCCGAGCCAGCATGAGATAGAAAATAGTCAGGTTGTATGACACACATTGGTTGTTTAATTTTAGGGATTTGTTTTATTTCAGTGTTTCTCAACCATGTTGGCTGGGGAATTCTGGGAGTTGAAGTCCACACACCTTAAAGCAGCTGAGGTTGAGAAACGCTGGTTTATTTCATCCTTTTTAACAGACTTGCACAATGTTTCTATGTGCTTCCCCTCTTAAAATGGTAAAAAATAATTATTCTACCCATTTTTGGCAGTTGCAATCAGAAAGGAGTTCTGGTGGCTAAGTTGCCATCAGCTGACTCATTAGACAGCCGTATCTTTAAGTGACCTTGAGGCTCACACGGAAGGCTGAAAAAGGAGGCAGCTGCTTTAAAGAGATTCTGCAATTCCACTTCCATGCATTGTGAAGCATCTTTTTTCAATAGTTTCTTCCATGAGAGTAAATTCCCAGCCAGTAAAATCTGCTTAGTGCTGTCCAGGGTACTGAAGTTCCTCATTTTGTCAAGCCTGAAGCTCTCCTGATTATTGTTATTAGATTGTTATCCTGTTTTTTAATACATTTTGATCAACTCAAGGCAGTGAGTGTTTTATGACATAAATCAAAATGCCTTTATAATCCAATCACAGACAGAGAAACTCAAATAAAGATGATTCCAAAACAGATATTTATTCAGTCAGAAAACAATACTTGCTATTTGTAGATTCCGTCTGGATATTGCAATCTGTTCATCTTCATTAAGTAAATTCATTAGTTCCTCCACATCAACTTCTTATGTGGAGTGGGCCTATCTGAGTCATCCGATGGCCCCATGCTTATATCAGACAAAGAACATTCTAAACTGGCCCATGGCCAGGATATCCTGTGATGAACTTTAGTGGCTCCTCCTTTCCTCCTACCACTGATCTATTAACATGGTATAGCTGACTAGCTAAACTACATTACCCATAAGCCATCTCTTAAGGAGACAGCACTTAACCCAATAAATGCCAATATTCTAGCATACAGACCTACATGATCCAGAACAGTGAGCATACCTAAATTTCCTGTCCCCCCTTTTCCGCATAACAACAACCTTATGAGATGGGTTGGCTTGAGAGAGTGACTGGCTCAAAGTCACCCAACTGGCTTTCATGCCTAAGGTGGGACTAAAATTCACAGTCTCCTGATGCCCACAGTCACCCAGCCAGTTTTCATGCCTAAGAGGCCTAAAACTCACAGTCTCCTGCTTTCTGGATCAGTACCTTCACCATTACACCCAACTGGTTTAACACCTTTACTACTATACGAAACTGACCCCCATGATGCTAGGCAGATCCCCATATATTATTCTAAGTAAAAAAACAAACATACTGCACTCTGTGCACTCAAACCGTTGGGCTTGACATACTGCTTAACATTATGTATTGTGTTTTCCATAGTCCTGTCTCTATGGATCCATAATCACGCTAGTTTTAATCCCAACAAATCTCAAAAAGAATAGATGCTAGGGGCTAATTAGTAATTGAACTGGCTTTTGTAAAGGAAGATGACCTTGATGGAGATAGGTAAGGAAAGCGACAAAGGGACAAACATACTTTAAGACAGGGCTGTCCAACCTTGGCAACTTTTAAGATCTGTGGATTCCAACTCCCAGAATTACAAAGCCACTAGATGACTTATAACTGGTCCTCACAATTGCAACCACCACAGCATGTCCCTGATCATATGACCATCATTTGGGTGCTTGGCAACCGGCATGTATTTTGCGGCATCCCAAGGTCCTGTGATCCCCATTTACAACTTTCCATCTCACTTTTGATAAGCAAAGTCAATGGGGGATTCACTCAACAACTGATTTACTCAATTGCCCTGGCAAAGAAGGTTTTAAGTTCAGGCGTGACACATTTGCCAACTGCCTTGCTTAGCAATGGGAATTCTGGTCCTGTGTGCCATTGTAAGTCAGGGACCACTGACTTACAATGGTTCTTAGAAAATGCTATTTTCCAGACCTTATTCCTATAAGACCTTTTGGAGAAGGTACTGTATATTACCATATGAATTACAATTTTTTAAGGCAGATCTAGATTTTGTGCTCATGTTAACTTCTAAGTACATGAACAAAAAAAACATTAGGATAAAAGGTAGGAAAGAAAATTACCCATCAGGAAAAATTTTAAGCATGTGTTTTTCCTCTGCCACTTTGAAGTTTTATTGCATAGAAGTTGACTAAAGCAAAATAGAGGCAACTGTTTGTATATAAACATTTATGTACATATCCAAATTTCTTTTTTGTTGACAAAGAGTTAAAGAGTTAAGTGGGAGATTAGAATAGCTAGTTCTTGACTTACAACAGTTCATTTAGTGACCATTCAAAATGACAATAGCACTAAAAAGTGATTTATGACCATTTTTCAGACTTACAACTGTTGCAGCAGTCCCTTGATCAAATGATCAAATTTCAGATGCTTAGCAACTGACCACTGCAGTGTTCTGGGATCCTGTGATCACCTTTTGCAGCCTTCTGACACGCAAAGTCAATGGGGAACCAACCTCACTTAATAACCGTGTTACTAACTTAACAACTGCAGTGATTTACTTAACAGCTGTGGCAAGAAAAGCCATAAAATGGGGCAAAATGCACTGAACAACTGTCTCACTTAGCCACAGAAATGTTGAGTTCAATTGTAGTCATAAGTCGAGGACTAATAGTATTTCCAATTGGATGCAAGCCCTGTTCTTTGAAAAATGAGGTAGGAGGTGCTATTTTTCCCTTACTCAAGGCATTTTGCCCGTCTGCAGGTTTTTGTTTTTGTTTTCCTGGACCTGGCAAGCTGAGTATTTGCTTACCCAATGCTACCCATGATGCAGAAAGATTTTTCCAATGTGCAAACAAAAAAAGGAAGAAAGAAAGAATACACCTTCCTAATGCTTTCCCATTAGTTCAAATGTATAGAAGTCACCCATTTCATAGCAATATGCTAATCCACCGTCTTTGTACAGACTCTGCATATGACATTTTATAAACATGACTCATC